CGTGGTGATGTGGTCATCCCGTTAATATGGACTTTCTTATAACTAGAAAGCTACAGACTTGTTTGCATAGACGGCTGTGCTATACCTACGATAGTTCTTCATCAGTCAATCAAATAATAAAGGGTCAAAAGCGCGCTGCTTTATTGACGCCATTTTGACAGTTGATATCATTGTAAATATTTTAGTCGATTTTAATATAGTGTAGTGTAGTTATTTTTTAAATTGATTTTTCGAAGTGTTCATAATTATTGCGAAGGCTTGTTTGCTATTTTTTCTTTAGTATATTAGTTATAGTATACGACTTTGTATTTTAGCTCTACCCTCCTCCTAGTTTTAGTTTTTTAGGACGGCAAAGTTTAAGGTGACCACATTATCCTCACGTATCTTAATAGAGAAGCACACTAGGTGATGGCCAGCGAAGTCTTTCTAATTACAACTAAAAAAGAAACTGCGGTTGTCAAACCTGGCACAGCAAATTAGCCCTTACGAGGCAAGCTATGAGGAGGTCTTTGTTCAGTAGTGGATTTTAATGGGCTTTAACAAATGAATCAATTATTAGGAATACTATTATCATACTCGTAGTAGTATTCCCGGTAAAAATTACAAACAAGTCCATGCTGCCGCTAGTAATAATCAACATCATTATTACGTCCCTTGCAAGTCCACTGATGGACATTGGCCTCCCCCAAGCACTACTCGAATTATGGACCTTACCCTTATCGGTACTCCGAATCTTTCTTACCTTTCTAATGAATAGTAGTTAAAAGTTGCTATGGCTGAACAATTGCGGCGTTCTGAATAAAACGAAAGTTTGGATGGATGCTGTCATTTGCTTGGGATTCTATAATTAAATCCAAACCCAAGGATACCACTGCAAGACTTCAAGATACTGTAAGCTTGTTCTGTGTAGATCGGACTAAAAATTAATATTCTAAAACTGAAGGTAGCCAGGCTAACTGTGACATCAGAACATCAAATACCTCAGCCCCCCTGCCCAATATTCACAATATTTATTATTCATAGGCCAGGCGTGGGGATTCAAAGCCGCAACCCGCAGCACCACAATTCATGATTTCTTATATTTACGCGAACACTATACGTTGAATATAACTATTCATATGGATTTCGTTGCGTATATTAACTTATTTTATATTCCCGATATTTCCAGCACTTTACAGCACCCATAGCTGCGGGGAGACAGCTGAATTTTATTTTAGGATCCTATAATTAATAAAATTAAATCCCAACCCAAGCATACAACTACAAGACTTCAAGATACTATAAGTTCATACTGCGTAGATCGGAATAAAAATTAATAATTTTAATCTGGAGGTAGCCATGATTAACTACTATGACTATAGAATACTATAATACATACAAAAACTATGAAATTGGGACGTCGAACATCTCAGTCCCCTCCGTGACCGTGACGTGAGGTGCTATAAAGTGCTCGAAACGTCGGGAATATAAAATAAGTTAGTATATGCGATAAAATCCTTAAAAATTAGTTTTATTCAAATTATAATTTTCATTCTTCTTGATTAAGTCCACTTATCCTAATGGTCATATTCATCTATCGAAAAACGGAGACCTCAGTCCTCAGGGTTGACAACGCATCCTTTATTTTAATTCTAAATCGAGGAAAGATGCAAATTTTCATGGACCATAGCATCCACTTACCATCAAGTGGACTGTATGCTCGCTTGTCACCCTTATTCTATAAAAAACCTATCGATAATGGTCTACAGCTAGACGAGAGCTTTTTCGAGAACGCCACTATGCGAATAACCTGCATCATTTAAAAGATTATCCCATAAGCAATACGCTAACCAAGTTAATGAAGGAATAACGATACCCTCGCTAATGCTATCATAATCATCATCATATATAGGCATCAGCCCGTTAAAATCTACTGCTGGGCAAGAGCTTCCAATTACAGAAAAATTTGTCCACTTGCTTGGCCTTGAGGACTGAAAAAGGCAACACAAGACGTTTTACGCTTTTGTCAATAGATTATGCATAGATTATAATTTCTCATTCAATTTTTTTTCCTTCATACTGATGTGTGAAATTTTGTTTCGGAAAATAAATACATTAGCTTTTCAATGAGGGTTAATAATCTTCCATTCACTAGATGTCTCTAGTTGTTAATGCGGTAAAGTTTTTTGTCACTTAGACCTGATGAAAAATTATCAGCGTTGCACATGAACATCCGCAATACCAGGGAAATTGCAGGTGCATTGCCGGCCATTTAGTAAGGAGTAGCCTTTTTTCTTGACAGTCCCTAAGTCGTATTGGTACGAAAAACCCACTGGCGATAGAAAATTCCGTTTAAATCGCACAGTAGTAGACCGCCAGTCATCGAGATGATGAGGATGGAAATTCTGTCGCAGTGTACTATGGTGGAATTCAGCAGCTGGAATTAATCCGAACAATTCCTCTGAACACTCCTATACTAATACCATGTATATGCGGTAGAAGCTGCATAGAGATGCAACGTTTATTCGCAAGGCCAGTGGATCAAGTCGATCACAAAGAACTTGATCGATGACGATTCGGGTCGCTCTCCGTTCAATATGGTCAAGTGGAAGGAGCTGATACTGGGGTGCTCCGGCCCAAAGAGGAGAACAGTATTCCATATGAGGCCGAACCTGCGCTTTGTAAAGCTGCAAGCGATGGGCTGGTACGCTGTCTCGATCTTCTGAGCATACCAAGCTTTTTGATGCTATTTTAGCCTTCCCTTCCAAGCGAAATGTCGACGCCAAGGATTCCGATGCTGTCTCAGGCAACGAGAAGCGTGCCCTAAGATCGAGAAGATACGACAAAGAGGTTCTTTTTGTGGTAAACGCGTAAAATTGTGTCTTTCGGGGTTTAAACTGGATTAGATTTAGTCGCTTCCAATCCGAGACTTTGTTCAACAAAGACTCGACTTCCCGACGTTCCCGATAAATATTATTTTAAATAAAAGTTTTCGGTTTTAGTGTATGTATTATATAATGCTTCAGAGGCGGCCTATATTCAGCCGGGGCATTTTATAGGCTATAATGTAATGGATGATTTTATAAATTATATAGAATAAGCCCTAAATTTAGCAGGAGTAATTCTTTTATACATATAATAAAACTAAAAATGTTTTAGACGTCCTTACGTAATTAAGGACTTTACTAATTTTTCGTTTCTGAAAGAAAATTACGTCCCAATCTTATACAGTTGTTTGCAAGCATACCTCCGGCTGTGTCGACAAATGTTATGGAAACAAAAGCATTATTTTTACTCGTACGTCTGAAATTTTTTAAACGTTACCAAACGGATAGATGACATCCGGCGGTACGACGTAATTCTTAAAATATTGCTTACATGTAGCACTCACAAATAAACAAAAACTACTGAAGCTTCCTTTATACGATTTACTGAACCGTTTATCTGAGTATCGTATCTTAATTCTGAGTAAATTTTAGTCAAGTTGACAGCATCGGAATATTATTTTTCGGCTTTATCGGTTCGTAGGCCCGTGGCAGTTCACTGCAGGAAGTAGGTTTCTCCTGTTAAAGGATTGCCTAAAGATCCTAGGAAATCCGGGTTGAGATACTTTTGAAAATTAGGTTTAAGAAAAAACTATCGCTGTCGCTCAGCGAGCGCAAGTGCGATAAGCATAATTCGAGGTATGGCTCTCTAGCATTTCCTCCTTCAGTATTGGACAAATTTAAAAGATACTTCATAAACTTAATAAGAAAGATATACAATGTGTCTCTATGCTTTTATTGTTTTCAGTATTAGTTATCAATTTGAACACTAGGCCTCTGTAGACAGCGGTCTAAATAGGCAATTATGGGCATTTTGTAATGGTTCTAGTGCTTATAAAGATAATGTGTCATCAAAAAGGAAAACATAGGGACGTAAAAGAGGTAGATATTTATTTTACTGTAAAAAATCATTCCTATAAGGTCATGAACTAGAAATAAAACGGGCGAGAGCGTTTGTATGGAGAGGTACCATCCGCATTCCCTCTTTATCGTCATGTTTGGCAAGCGAGTTGACGACCGCAGTTTTAGATGTAGACAAATATGTGGTAAAGCAATACTGTAGCTATATTATGTCTTCCTCATCAGCACTTGAAAGTCTATCGCTGGAGATGAATAGAATAGTATACAATATTTTTTTTATTCAATATAGATTACAAGTAATTCTTAGTAAAAGTCAATATTTTACGTTACCACTGGTTCGAAAAAAAACCTCTGTCATGGGAAGAACCAGCAAGAAACCCAGCGGGACTTTTTTTTTAAATTAATTTTATAATGTCAAGGATCACAAAATATTTACAAAATTTGTTTTAGAAACAGCCTGGAAGTGACCACCTAATTCCCAGGGGTTATTATCAACCATGTATTCTTTTATATCATAATAACCCTTTTTATATAGTTTTAGTTGAATTAAATATTTAAACTTGGTAATAGAGAGATCTTTTATTTTCTGGGACTTTGTTGTAATAGCGTATAAATTGCACCAAGAATGAATTACTGACTCTGTGGTGGCGAGAAACTGGTAGCACCAGCTTGTGTTTGTTTCTAGTGTTAATGTCCCTATCTTACGGTCCTATCTTACGGTAAGGAGCGTTTGCCTTAAGCATCACGCTTGTTGGCATATTGACTGTGCCAGTACCAGACGTTTCGCACCTTTGTAATTTTTTTAAATAGAATAAGGGTGACAAACTAGCGCACAGTCCACTTGATGGTAAGTAGATGCTGTGGCCCATAGACGTCTACATCTATCCTCAATTGAGAAACAAAATGCAGACGCGTTGTCAGCTGTGTTGACTAAGATGGAATGCCTCTTTTGCAATAAAAAGAGTCTCCGGTTCTCTACATTCACCATACGAAACACAGCTGCATTAGGCTGTTATTTGACGCTGGTATTGTGCAAATATTTGTTTTATGATGGAAAGCATTATTGTTACAGATTCAAGGACATTATTATAGGTATTTGTAATGAAATCCACAAATATGGAATCGTGCTCAGACCGTCTGAGTCCACCTAGTGACTTGACGAGTGAGTCGGAAACATCTCTCCCTCCCTTTCCCTACGACAATCAAAATGGCAATTTTTATACACAAACAGAAGTTGTAGACAAACAATATTTTCCCTGCAAGCAAAAATCACCCAGAAATGAGGAAAGAAAAGAAATATATTTACAAGAAAGCAACAAGATTTTTGAAAATTATCTAACAACCAAAAAACATTTAATATTTGACGTGAAATTACCACCGACCCACGACAACTTTTTCTCGCAAATAGAAGGCGAAGATCGCACATTACGTTCAGGCTATTTCACTGATATTCAGAATTTAAAAAGTTGCGTTCAAAATGAAAATAATCCAAACTTTACAGAAATGGAAGTTAATACGCAACAAATGGGTTTTGAAAATGTTAATAATAACGTTGGAAGCGAAAGAGAAAAAGTTCAGCCGTCTTTTTTCGCTGAAACTGAAAACAACAATATGCGTAGGTGTTTAAACTTTAATTCGGAACAAGTGCAGTGCGTCTGCGAAGCTTTACAACAAAGAGGGGATATTGAAAAACTGGCAGCTTTCCTGTGGAGCTTACCGCCAAGCGAATTACTACGAGGAAATGACACTGTATTGAGGTATATTACCTATAATTTTAAGCTTATACTTATACCATACTTCACGACCGTTGAAAGGCCCAACAGTCCTACCGTTTATATGTCCAACTCCAAATGTTTACCCAACCTGACACAATTCGTAAAATCATAAACTACGCCGATGCAAATTAAAAAAATAAACTTCTATTTAAGAAGCCGAATTCAAAGAACTATAAATAATTTCTACATAACAGCTTCAAAAGTGGGTGCTAAGACAATAGTATAATACGATACTACAGTTGAATTAAAGCCTCGGATTAAAGCTTTAGAAGCTGTTATGTGGATATAATTACTTTATTATTTTTTTTGATGTCGACTTTTAATTTTTGTTAACGCTTTAATGTTTTGACCCTTTTGATTGGACTTAGGACAATTTTTTTTAAATTTAAGCTCAAGGTAACAAGTAGAATTAAAGACGTTAAAAAATATTAGCTAATATTCGCATAACAAAATAAATTAAGCGCTAAGTGGCTAAACGCCACGAAGCGGTCAGCCATCGCAGAGTATATTTCTGCCGATGATGCCCCGTTTGGTGACGAAACACGTGTCGTATTATCTACGGTAATGTCTGGTAGTAATGGTCCTGGGATAAGTGATGACGAGGATAGTACACGCTATTGTGGGAGGGTGGGAAGTTCTCTTCAAACGAGATAAGACTCATCATTTAATTTCATTGCGTGGATTCGAGCTCATTAATTTTTAATAACGTCCGTAATACTCGTATCATGTGTATCTGCAAAGAAACGCCTGATTCTATTAGTTAATAACTCATCCCCCTATTTTCGCACATTTTGGAGTTAATTTTTTTCCATAGTTATACTGAATCACCCCTGAAGTAACTTAATTAAAAAAATATGCAATAAAAAATAGTACAGTCGAATTGAGAACCTCGTACTTTTTTTGAAGTCGGCTAAAAATAACTTACTTATGAAGGGTTTGTCGAAAGGTTGGACGATATGTGTTGAGCCGGCATTTGTTTACGCCAGGAGTGAACTTCAAAATTAATTATATCTTATCTAAGAGTCATATAAGTCATATATATATATATATATATATATATATATATATATATATATATATATATATATATATATATATATATATATACTAGTTTCAGGGATTTGTGTTTTGGATTTGTCATGTCTATTAAAAATCCTTAAATTAAAAATGTGGTTCATTGAGCAATTGTGGAAAGAGAAGGTGTGATTTTTTTAGATATGTTTTTTTTTTTTTTTTTTTTTTATTTTTTTAGTTCAAATATTATTGATTATTAAGGTGTTTCTTCCTGTTACATATTTGATGAATCATTTATGTTTTATTTATTAATTTAACTTTATATTTTCTAAAAAAATTTAGGAGGTCTCGTAAAATGGCGTGTCTCTTTGAGTACAGAATACAAATTACATATGTACTAAAATCATAAATTTTATTGCTACTTTGCTTTGTCTTCTCCATACAGCCAAATATTTTATGTGTAAGTATAGATGTAGTGTATGTACTACACACCATTTATATTGATATTTATACAGTATGTGTGCGTTAACTGTGTGTAGCCTCTTGTAATTAGTCTATAAGTTTAGTTACGCGTAATTCGAGGTTCACACACCGACTCGTCTGTGAAGTCACAAGGTTCCGACTGAAAAACAGCGCTGCCTCTGCAGCATCATGCTGAATTGGAGACCTATTTGATGTCACATTTTATCTTTAAATTCCTTTTTAATTTTTTATTTGTTTTTTTTGTTTCTTTATTAATTAACATCATGCATGTTCTGCTTATTAATAATTTTTAATGCGTAAGCCGTCTTACACCTGCGCAAGCATATTTTTTGCCCCTTGTAATTTATATTTAAATTTCTTAAATTGTGTGTAACGTGTGATTATCAAATAAATGGTTCTTTCTTTCTTTCTTTACTTTCTTCTATATACTTAATGATAATAATATCTTAATACTGATCTGACATTAATGACGTCGAGTTGACGAATAATTAAAATAAAGCAAAGGAGAAAAAAGATGTTAAAATTAATATTGATAAATACAGAGCCGTGGTAGCTCGGATGGTTAGTGCTCGCTGTAAATTTTACAGTACGCGAGCAACCCGGGTTCGATCCCCGCCGGCAACGCGAACGCTACACATTGGTTAAAACTACTTCTACGGATTTTATCGCGTAGTACCAGTAACCGTGATCACGAGAGACTGAGGCAACGGTAATCTATGGACTAAGGTGACTGACGTACGTCAGTGTTAACCCGGAGTACTTTCAGCTTTTAATTATGGTTCGATCTACGCAGAATGAACTTACTGTGTCTTGAAGTCTTGCAGTAGTATGTTTGAGGTTAGTTTTAATTTTATTAATTATAGGGTCCGAAGCAAGTGGTAGTACCCAGCAGAAACGTCGGGAATTAAAAGTCAAATAAATTAAACGCGATAAAATCCGTAAAAGTAGTTTTAATAAATATATAACCTGATTATTAAGTAGTGCTACAAGTTCATAAGATTTAAATTTTAGGGCTCGAGCCCTGGTAGCGTACCACAGAGGCGTATTCCAAGAATTGTACGCCATTTTGGAAGCGCACACTTTCCCACCGCGCCATCACTCGGGCCTTCAAGACTTGTGGTTTAAAGCGCATTATAAAGAGGCGGAAAAAGTTCGTGGACGACCTTTAGGTAAGATCATTTTAAAGTTAATGGATTTATTTCAGTTTTTATACACAATTGTTGTTTTTGTGTGATGTGGATCAAGAGAGCTGTTTTCGTCTCTTATATTCGACCAGTAAGCTACGTTGTCAACGTTTTCGTTTCGTTAAATCACACAAGTTTTTTGCTCTCTAGCAATCCTATCTATTGAAAGTCTGTATGAAAGAATAAGCATATTCCATCACATTTCTTATTTGTTCCTATTTTGCTCTTGCTCATATTTATCTTTTTGTAGTGCAACGATGCGTTATTCCAAGCTGAAAAGGCATGGTTGGCTATGTAGCTTTGATACCGACAACGGATTGGGAAGGATAAAACGTCCTCTCGTCCACATTTGATCCTGATTATAGGCCATGTTTTGTGGTAATCTACGCGAGAGGGCTATGTTCAGAAATGAACTAGCGTTGGAGTACATGTAACGATGTTGGTTTTCAGGACACAAAGAGTATTTGAAAAAATCTTTTTTCATTATCATTATTGCAGCTTGCTTGAGCAAGACGCATTGATTGATGACTATTTTCAGCAGTAGACTTTGAAGTATACTGCTGAAAATAGTCATCAATCAATGCGTCTCAGGTTCACAACCGTAGTTTTTTTTTCAATCGTTATCACGAAGATGTTATTGCCTTTATTTGAAGACGCGCCAAATCGGCTTCAAATAAAATCTACAGTTACAGTTTCAATGTTCATGTTGTAGGAGCTGTAGACAAATATAGATTACGGAAAAAGTACCCTCTGCCTAAGACGATTTGGGACGGTGAGGAAACTGTCTATTGTTTCAAAGAGAAAAGTAGAAACGCCTTGAAAGACTGTTACTACAGAAATAGGTGAGGATTTTTCCTTATATTCTGTTCTTATAATGATTATTTTTATTTACGCGAATACTACTTGCTGTGAAAAACTTTTCTTTTAAATAATGTTATAACAGTAATAATGTCCTCCAGACCGAATTTTGGTCACGGCGGCCAGCCTCAACGGGAACCAGCCATCGGCGACGGACAGGATTATAGTGCCCAAGTGTATGCGCAAGAAATTGAAGGAATAGAGAGGTGCACTCTCTATTCCTTCACTCTCATAATCCGATGGGACGGAAAACCAACACGACCGGAGAGAAATCAGGTGCAGGAAGGCTTTACGTGCTTTCCGAGGCACGGGGGTGAGACACCGCCAACTTCCTGACCCCGGGCAACTACTAAGAATTTCATCATTTCAAGACTCCGGGGAGCTACTGAGAGTTTCTTGACGGAAAGCTCAACAATTGATTTTTTGGCCCGGCCCGGGATTCGAACCTTTAAATTCTCGTGATCAGCAGTTGAATTACTACAACCACTAGACTAACGAGGCAGTCAAAATATAAAACAATGTTAAAGTTGCAACCTATATATACGTCCCACTGCTGGGCATAGACCTCAACCTCTTATTGCTGAGATGGTTTTAGGACAAGGAAGTATCCGCCGCGCTGCCCCAATGCGTGTTGGCGCACTTCACATGTCTTCGAAATATTTTTTTTTATTTCTCAGACATGCAGGTTTCCTCACGATGTTTTCCTTCAACAGCGAGCACGTGGTAATTCAACATTTAAAATTGCAATTAACAATTTCATTGGTGCCGGCAGGGATCGAACCCGGGTTGCTCGCGTACTATGAAATTTACAGCAAGCGCTAACCATCTGAGCTACTGGCTCAAAAACGTTAACTTTAAATGTTAAATGTAAAACGGATCAAAAATAATGTTATCCTATACATAATACACTATACATAAATAGCATGTGGACAAACAACCGGACTTGGAAAAATATTTGTAGGCCATACAAGGATTTGTGCTCAGTGCGATATTCGAACCTGTGACTCCTGAGCGCCACAGTCAATTACCGTGCCGTACCGTATTAATAAAATCAGGCGTTACTTTGCGGAAATCCATTAATAAAATAAAATTATGTGTTTTACCAAGTTTGAAGAGCAACTCCAGCCCTCCATCAATTGTGTGCATTATCCCCGTTATTATCCCCGTCACGCAGCAACTTGCTTGCTGGTGGAAGGGGATAATGCTACTCAGCAGTCAGCCAACGCAGAGTCTACTTAACCCGGGCCTGCCTCGTGTAAAGGCGAATCACGTGTCTTATAGTGAAAAGGGTCTCCGGTTCTCTACACTCACCATACGAAACACAGCAGCATTAAGGCGATACCCCGACCAATACCTTACGATAGTGCGTGCGTTTTTCAGAGACTATTATCTCATTAGTTACGAGAATTAAACTACATCTAAAAACATATTATTAATGTTCGATACCCTATCATTACATTCCATGTTCTAATTTGTTTTTATGTGTTATAAATACATTTAAAATCAACTTTTAAAATAGACTGAAATTATTGATTACATGCATATGTTGCTGAAGGCAACGCTCTAATCATTTGAGGATTACACTAATGGATAGATTATTTCAAAATTTATATTAATCAGGTTTTATTCGATTTCTCAAATTCAAAATTTTGGCCTATTTCTTACGCGACATATTTATTACGCGAGAGCGCGCGGATTGTATAGGACCGAACGCTCAAGGTCGTTTGCTAGGGGTATCGCCCTAAGCTGCTATTTTACGCTGGTATACAGTGAGAGCGTGGTCCTTCCCCGGTCGAGCCGACCCATTCGTGCTACAACCATAATATAGCTGCAGCGTGGCTCTACCACGTATACTTGGGCACTATAACTATGCTTGGACACTATAATCCCGTCCTACGCCGATGGCTAGTCTCCGGCTGAGCCGCTGTGACTGAAAAATATTCTGACAGGAGGACATTACATAGTTTTAAATACATACTTTACATATATACATACTATTTATATATATCTTACATACATAAAAGAGGTTGTTTGTATATATGAAATCATTTAACTCAAAATCTATTATATATATTGATATTTTATTTTATTAGCTTCTTTTTTTCAGTCAAGCGCGGCAATTAATAAGTTAAATTGCATGTAGTTTTTCTCTTTTTAATTTGACTGATGATTTAAAATTCATTTTTTGTGCTTTACCAACTTTTGCAAATACTTCTAGATATCCAACGCCTGATGAGAAGAGAGCATTAGCACAGAAGACCGGTCTGACCCTGACTCAAGTCTCCAACTGGTTTAAAAACCGACGCCAGAGGGACCGGACCCCACAGCAGCCAAACAGGCCGTGAGTAATTAACAATGTTATACCATTTTCTGGCACAAAAGCCAGGCCAATAACAGTAAGCCAATAAATAGCAAGGGACTAAAATGGACTGATCACAGGGGTTGGATTTAGAATCGTTTGGCAGGAATTTGGAGGAGTAAGGTGTTTATTTGGTAGAGATTTAGAGGAGTAAGGTGTTGTATTTGGTAGAGATTTAGTTCCTGATTATAACAATATCTACCACTCGTATTAAAAGGTAATGCACTGTTTTCGAGAAAATAAAAAAGTAGTAAAATAGTAGTTTTCGAGAAAATAAAAAGTAGTAAGGTATGTGAGTTATGTTCAGCAGTGGATTTGTGAAGGGCTGGAAGGAATGATGATGATGATGATGATGATGATGATGATGATGGATGATGATGATGATGCATGATTTGAGTTAACCTTGCCGTCCTATAAAACAATACTAAACTAAATACGACTAAAATATTTACTATAATTTGAACTGTCAAAATGAGATCGATAAAGCAGCGCCCTTTTGACCCTTTATTATTTGATTGACTGATAAAGAGCTATGATATCATAAAGCCATCTATGCAAACAATGCTTTGGTTTTTGATTTATAAGAAAGTGACCATATTACCCGGATGACCATATAACCCTCACATACTATAGTAAAAAAAAAAACTTTTCATAAATCCAAATATACATGCCTTAAGCGCTCATGTTATACGTCAATTTTTAAAGTGTTTTAAATACACACAAGTTTTCACAAATAACCCTATTAAAATTACTTCTAAAGTTCAATTGTTACACTTTTGTATTCAGCCTTTTTAAAAGGCCGGCAAAGCATTTACAATTCCCCTGGTTGTTGATTGTCGTCTGATTGCACCGAAATGCAATACAGGTATCGGGCCTCGGGGTGACCCCCCATTACCCGGGTGTCCTCATGTCCCATTATTATGGGACAGTCCTTGTTGCCTATTCAGGCGTGATGGTAAATCCGGTTTTTCCGTAATTGGTTAATTACGGAAAAAAGAGTGGTTATCTAATATAGACAGAGTTGGCCTTTCAGCGGCATTGTGGGTTGTTACTCAACTTTCTAATCACATAGAGAGGAGTTCTCTTGGAAGAGGTCGCCCGTCCGGTGGCCGGGTGTGTAGCGGCGCAAAGCCGTTCAGGTGTTCATGTGGCCCGTTATCGGCACGGTCAAACATGCCGCGCGCTAACCGGGCCACGAAGTCGGTGATGGTCTCGACTTTCAGATCGGCCGTTATGACGTCATTCCGGACGTAGCGACCTGCTCCGACGATCGTCCTTAATGTCAGATTCTGCTGGGCCTGCAGTCGCCGCCTCAGAGGGTTGCTCAGAAGTGCGTACCAGGCCGGAGCAGCATACGTGATGATGGTCCGGATATACATCTTGTATATCCGGAGCTTGGTGTTTATAGGCAACTTGGATGCAAGTACCGGCAAGAGCGTCGCCCGCGCACATCGGGCCCGGCGGACGACGAAGTCGACGTGCGCGGTCATGCGCAGCGTCCTGTCGATCTTGCACCCAAGGTAGGTTACGGCCTTCTGGTACGCAATCTCCTGGCCGTTGAGGGTCAGCGGAGGTGGTAAATTCCTGAGACGGCGAGTGAGCAGAGCGGTCGTCTTACCAACGTTGACGACCATCCTCCACTCATCCAGCCATGGTGGCAGCAGGTCCAGCAGACGCTGCATCTTGGCAGTGGCTATGTGGGCTCTTCTGGACGAGGTGAAATAGGCGCTATCGTCCGCGTATAGCGCCAGCTCGACGTCGTCCTCCCACTCTTGAAGCCTGCCTGCCAGTGTAGGTATGTCGTTAGTATAAGCCGCGTACAGGACTGGTGACAAACAGCTGCCCTGTGGAACGCCGGCTCTGATGGTTTTAGTTGCGGACTCGGCGTCCTCTACGCAGACGTAAAACTTCCTGTCTTCCAGGAAAGACGCCATTAACCGCAACATAGCAAGAGGGACACTGGTCTGTTCTTTCAGCTTGTATAGTAGTCCTATGTGCCACACCCGGTCGAACGCCTTCTCGATATCGAGGAAGACGCCCAACGATATGCGGCCACGATTGTACTCTGCCGCAAGCAGGTGCAGCACTCTAGTCAATTGTGTGACTGTAGAGTGTCCTCTCCTGAATCCGTGCTGCTCCGCCCGAAGTTGGATGCACGGACGGAGACGTCTTAGCAGCAATCTTTCGAACAGTTTAGCTATGTGTGGTAATAGCGTGATCGGCCTGTAGCTGGCAGCTCTACGCCTGTCCTTCCCGGGTTTCGGCAAGACGATAATTTTGCCTGTTTTCCATATCTCCGGGAAGTGGGATGTCCGCAATATCCCATTGTAGAGTCGACCAATCTCTACTATGACTCTATTGGGCAGCTGTCGGAGTGCAGCGTTGGTAATCCCGTCGTGCCCCGGCGCCTTCCTCGGTTGCAGGCGGGTTACTGTCCTCCGCAGTTCAGCGGGGGGAGATGAACCACTCTCCTGCAAGAGGCGGCGCGGGCGACGACAGGAACTCCTGCACGCGACTTTCCTTCCTGGCATGAAGCTCCATGAACTCCGCACTTGCTGGGTTCGGCATAAATTGCTCCTCGAAGTGCTCGACTAGGATATCCGCTCTGCCCTTGGCATCATAGCAGCGTTTGCCTGCGTTGTTAATCAGCGGGCAAACGGGAGGTTTGGTTCTAGTTAACTGCCGGTTCAGTCTATAGAGCGACACATCTTGCTCCTCGGCCTTCCTGATGCGCCGATCCCAAGCGTCGCCTCTAAAGGCCTGGACTGCAACCGACAGTTCCTCCGAGATGGTGTTGAGCTGGGTCTTTAATCTAGGGCAGCGAGTACGCGCCCAGAGCTTTCTCAACGCTCTCTTGCGCCTGATCTGCACACATATGTTAAGCGGCAGATCGTCTCGCCTAGCTGTGATCGGGACGATCGTAGAGGCCGCGTGAAGGGCCTCCTTGATGTTATTAGTGATTCTAGTTGCAGCGGCCTCTACGTCGTCCGCTGTACTTATTGGCTGGTGTGCTGGAGGTCTCTGCTGCAGGTGTTGACAGTAGAGCCTCCAGTCGACACGTGTCTTAAACGCTCTGGGCGGCGTAGTCACCGCCTTCAGGCCAAGGGTTATCAGTAACGGGAGGTGCTGTGAAGGTAGGTCGTACAGCACTTCTACCACTATCGGATAGTTGACGTTCCTAGTGAGCACGATGTCTAATACATCCGGATGCCTCCTTGGGTCAGTAGGAACGTGAGTCGGTTCCTCGGGACCTAGAACGTCGTATTGGTACTTTTCGGCGTCTTCATATAGTTCACGACCCGGCGGGGTGATCACTCTGGACCCCCACGCCGGGTGTTTGGCGTTCAGGTCCCCGGCGATGATAACAGGTCCATCGCCTTCCATCACTGTCCGGATGTCTGAGGAGCAGAATGGAGTCCCTGGTGGGCGGTATGCTGCATATATCCTTAGTTCCTCGCCCGCCGCCTCCATTCTAATACCGATTGAGCGCATTGTCTGGAAGGATGGTAATTCCAGCTCTTGATGGACGATGTCCCTCCTCACTAGAACCGCCGTCCCTCTATAGGCGGCCCCTTGAGAAGTGACCTCGTCCCTTCTGTAGATGTAGTAATTTGGCAGCTTAATGCGCGTTTTTGGATTTAATATTGTTTCGCCCAGCAGTATAATATGTATATCCTGTTGCTGGGCGACTGTGCGGAGTTCATGCAGCTTCTGCTGTATTCCGTCCGGGTTCCAATAGAGGAGGCGCAGATTACGCTCCTCCATAGTGCCGGGCTAGGAGGTTTGCCAGCGCCTTCATAATCGCTGTCACTGGATCTGTCCCGGCTCTTATGTCAGCCAGGACTTGCGTGCCGACCTCGATGGCAATACCAACCAGACGTTGGATTGCATCTGCTGTTTCGAGGCCGGTGGTAGGTGTTCTCCTATAAGAAGGCGTTGGCAATTGTCTCGGGGGTTGGGGCTCCTGGATTTGCTCTCTTTGCTTGTGGGTAGAGCGCGCTCTAGTGGTAGAGCGGGCTCTATGTTCAGATAGAGCCCTCGTTGTGGGTTCCACCGTTTCTTGGGTAGTTGCGGGTGGGGGGGGGGGGCTGGTTGCCTGCCCTTCCCGGTGATGGTGGTCCACCCGTCCTGCTGAATTGTAACAGCTTTCGGGCGACTCTGAGGGGCCTTTTTGGGGGCCTCCGGGAGTAATCCCGGCAAGGTTATCCCCTGCCTCCTCGCAGTCCTCCTCAGGACTGGACAGCGGCGGTCATTTGCCGTGTGGTTTTTACCACAGTTGGCGCATTTCGGTTCCTCTTCCCTACCCCGAGGGCAAAGGCTTGCTATGTGCTCCCCGGCACAGCGCACGCATCTCACTGGCCTGAAGCAGTTGGCAGAGGCGTGCCCGAAGGCCTGGCATCGGTGGCATTGGGCTGGTCCAGCCTTTCTTTGCCAGGCCTCGATGACGACCCCTCTCATGTAGAGGAGCTCGTCGATGTTATATAATTCCTGGAGCTGCTCCAGGCTCAGGTGGTCCAGTTGGGCAAAGTAGACGTAGCCAGGTCTGCTTCTACGCGGTGGTATTGCCTTTACATATTTTATGGGGAAGCCTTTTGCCCTTATGGCCTCCTCTATTGCTTGGGTGTCCGTGCCCATTGGTAGACCCCGGATGCCCACTTTAGTGGGCTTATCCTCCTCCGGGGTATAACAATACCACGACAATGATGGTGTTTTCTTGGTTAACTCGACCATGTACCGCTGTACTGTGCGAAATTCATTTGCACTTTGCGGTGTGAATCTAACGCCTTTCCCAAACGGACGGGCATTTATGGGGTGGCCCAACATATTGTTGAGCTCCTTGAAATGCCTCGTCCAGTCTGGTAGGCATTCGGCCACTATGGGTGGGTATCGGCCCTTCTCCTGGTCGGCAGGCTTCACTGTAGGCGCTGCCGCCGGTGGTGGTCGTGGTACTGCTGGTGCAGCTACCATATGGGCATAACTGG